CTAAGGATGGATCAAGTAAGGCTTACCTTGACCCCGGTGAGACCGTCACAGAATCCTTCACGAGCAGGTTCTAGCAGCACAATGTCCAGAACTCACTGGTTTCTACAAGCAGCCAAAATTTGCCTGGCTGGGGGAAAAAAAAAAAGCATTTAGCAGTGTTTTATTCCTATTGCTCACAGAAGCCATTTATTTACACAGCTGAATATGTTAAGCCTGCGATTATCCATAAGAATATCAAATAGTTTCTCAAATGAAATGCCACTGAGACAGAAGATTGTGTCATTTGGTACTTAATGATTTATTATTTAAGCTAAAATCTCAGAGAAAACTACCTTTTCCTTATTCTTAGGTTCTGGTGGATTTCCACACATTGCCAGTTACATATTTGCATGTATACCAAATGACTTCTTAGAATATATGAGGGTGTAATATAATCATGTTTGGATTAGACGCCAGTACAGCTGCTGTTACAGTGAAAGAACCAAGCAAACAAAGTTAAAGCTAGGCTGGTATTGTGGCACAGTGGGTTATGCCACATATGCAACCTAGCATCCCATTTTGGTGTCTTAGAAGGGATTTAAGTCCCCATTTAGGTCCCCAGCTGTACTACTTCCTATCCAGCTCTGGGCTAATATACCTTGGGAAGCAAGTGCAGAAGGCCCAAGCATTAGGGACCGTGCACCCATGTGGGGCTTAGATGCTCCTGGTTCCTAGCCACTGAGTGAATTGGCCTGGCCACTGAGTCAATCACAAGATGGATGATCTCTCTCTGAGTCTCTCCCTCTCTCTGCCTTTCAAACAATCTCTTTAAAATAAATAAAATTAACATTAGGGGTAGATTCCCAATGTATACTGAAAAACACTTTTATATAGAAAATACATCTTAATTCCAAAAAATGGCCTGAGTGATCTGTAAGTGGAAACACATTATAAAAAAGCTGAAATTTAGGGGGCTAGTGCTGTGGCAGAGCAACCTCCACTTATGGTATTCCCATTTCATACTGCTGTTGGTTTATGTCCCTGCCACTGCATTACCCATTCAGCTCCCTTTTAATGAGCCTGGGAAAACAGCAAGAGATGGTCCAAAGCCTTGGAACCCTGCACCCATGTGGAACTCAGCAGAAGCTCCAAGCCCCAACCCTTTGGCCGTTGCAGTCATTTGGGGCCTGAACCAGTGGGTAAAAGATTTTTCTTTCTGTTTTTCCTTATTTCTCTGCATATATGCCTTTCAAATAAAAAAATCTTTAAGAAATTATTAAAGATGCTGAAATTTAGAACCCAATAACTACTTTATGAAAAAATTTGTAAAATCACCTAGAGTACTGCCATTAGTCGCTCCTCCCAAGAAACCTCGAGTTAAAATTAGCTTTCCTATTCTGCCTCCACTATATTTGCTGCTAAAAAGGAAAAATAATAAAGCTTCAGAATGCCGTGATTCAGTACAGGGACTTGGCTGTTCATCAGCCAAGTAACCATGCATTATTCTAGAAACCACTGTTTTAATATGTACATAAAGACTCATTGCCTCCAAAACGTTTTTTTCATTAAATCCATTCAATTCCAAGCATTGCAGTGCTATTCTCATTTTCCTTACTGCTAATTCAAATTTAAACTTTAATACTTTGGCAAATGCTACTTTTAAAAAAAGATTTACTTATTTTTATTGGAAAGGCAGATTTACAGAGAGAAGGAAAGACATAGACAAATATTATCTATCCGCCGATTCACTCCCAAAGTGGCCCCAACGGCTGGAGCTGAGCTGCAGGTGGGCCTACCTGAAGCCAGCAGCCGGGAATTGCTTTTTTCAGTGTCCCAGGCAGGTGCAGAGTCCTGAGGCTTTGGGCCATCCTCTGCTGCTTTCCCAGGCCACAAGTATGAGGCAGGATGGGAAGTAGAGCAGCCTGGACACGACCAGGTGCCCATACAGGATGCTGGTGCATGCAAAGCAAAGATTTAGCCACTAGGCTATCATGCCAGGCCCAGCAAATACTGTGTTTTTAAAATACCTTTCTCTTTTTTTTTTTTTAAGATTTATTCTTATTATTTTTTTATTGGAAAGGCGGATATACAGCGAGGAGAGACAAAGAGGAAGATCTTCTGTCCGATGATTCACTCCCCAAGTGAGCACAATGGCCGACACCATGCCGATCCGAGGCCAGGAGCCTCTTCCAGGTCTCCCACGCCGGTGCAGGGTCCCAAAGCTTTGGGCTGTCCTCGACTGCTTTCCCGGGCCACAGGCAGGGAGCTGGAAGGGAAGCGGGGCTGCTGGGATAGAACCGGCGCCCATATGGGATCCCGGGCATGCAAGGCGAGGACCTTAACCACTTGCGCCACCGCGCTGGGCCCTTAAAATACCTTTCGACAGGCAGAGGGAGAAAACTGAAAAGTTCGGGGAGGAGGAAGATAGAGACCCTCAACAGTCAGGGCTGGGCCAGGAGTCTGGAACTCTCTCTTGGTCTCCCAGATGGGTGGCAGGGGTCTCACTTGGCCCTTCTCACAGTACTTTCCCAGAGCAGGAAGAACAGCCTGGACTCAAACCAGCGCTCCTGATTAGCTATATGAGTGGAACTGCAGGCAGCAAGCTAACGCACTCTGTTATAACTCAGGCCCCGGATTTGGGCTCTCTCACTTTAAGAGTGTAAACTAGTTGAGTACAAAATTCCTAACCTGGGCCCGATGCGGTTGCCCAGCAGCTAAGGTCCTCACTTTGAAGACACCAGGATCCCATATGGGTACTGGTTCTAATCCTGACAACCCTGCTTCCCAACCAGCTCTCTGCTTGTGGCCTGGGAAAGCAGTCGAGGATGGCCCAAAGCGTTGGGACCCTGCACCCGCATGGGAGACCCAGAAGAAGCTCCTAGCTCCAACTGTTTCGGTCGCTTGGGGAGTGAATCATCGCTTGGGGAGTGAATCATCGGATGGAAGATCTTCCTCTCTCTCTCTCTTCCTCTCTCCATATATCTGACTTTGCAAGAAAAATAAAATAAACCTTAAAAAAAATTCCTAACCTTTGGTAAAACACTTAGGATATAGTGCTGGCAAAAGGTAAAGCGCACAATGCATTGAAAGACCTAAACTAGCTTTTAGCCTTGGTTCCAGGATTGGGAAGTAGGTCATTTTGCCCGGAAGCAGAATTTGGAGCTGAGCAGTGTGGTGTTTAGACAAGAGAAGCGTTCACGAAAGCAGAAACAACGAAAAGTAGAATTGGTTACTGCAAAGTGGCTTGTTTACACATTTGACTACCATCATTCTACAGCTTTGTCCAAGTTCACAGAAACAAGTCGGGTTTGACGTTGTGGTACGTAAGCAGGTGTGACTCCATTTGAGCTCCATCCCTGGGGTCGGTGGAGGAGCAAGGGGAACCAATGACTTTCCATAAATTAACTCGGCACAATGCAGGCAGAATTGAATTAACTGCTCAACTTCCCGTTCCACTTACGATTATGACCATGGTGTTGAGGATTTTAACCAAAGATGACAATAATAGCACTTGATTTAAACTAAAGATGCTCGAGGTGAAGATTTCCTTTAGTTCCTTTCACGACACTATGACCCTACAGATACCTGTGGTCAAATTCTGGGATTGAAAGACCCATGAAGATTTTTTTTAAATGTAGCGGTTAACCTTATGTAGCCTAGGTACATGCTCCTATTTCCTTTTTTTCAAGGATATGAAAAGCCTCCCAAAACTTTTTTCACATGAAACCAAAACCCAAATTCCCACATCCTGATAGAATCGAAACATCCTAGCACGGGCTGATAGTAAAAAGCCTGAACGTTTCAACGGGGGTGGGAGATGGGAGGTGGAGGTGGTTACTCGAGAAGGAAAAGGGGAGTCCCTGGCAAACGGGGCGCGCGGCCGGTGACGTCACGGCTTGCCAGACAACGGTTGCGAGGGAACCGGCCGGCCTCGCCCCGCTCCGCGTGTCCGCGGGCCTCCCGCGCGGGGCAGCTGCGGGCGGCGGGATCCCGGAGCACCGCGAGCCTCCGGTGCCTCCCCGCCCTGGGCTGAGGAGCATGGCGCACACCGCCTCCATTTGTCTACAGGTCTCGGATGCGAGGGCGCCAGCGGCCGGCGGGAGGGACCACGCGGGGACACCTCTCTACCCACCCGTGACACGAGAGCAGGTCGAGCCACAGCAGCGCTCTGCGCCGGCGGAGGGGTGACGGTACAGGGGGGCCATGCGAAGCGGGTGGCACGGACCCCCGGGGAGGGGGTAGAGCGGCGGGGGACGCGAAAGGATGCGGCCAACGCCAGGGAAGCCAGGGCGGCACCACAGGCGGGCTCTTCCGGCCCCGCCCCGCCTTCCCGTGGGAGGAGCACGGCCCCGCCCCTTTCCCGTCCCTTCCGGACGTGTGTCCCACACCCTCCGGGTGCGCGCAGGTGTCGGCCCCGGACCCCGCCTTCCCGTGGGAGGAGCACGGCTCCGCCCCTTTCTGACGTGTTCTCCACCCCCTCCGGGTGCGCGCAGGGTGTCGGGCCCCAGGCCCGCCTTCCCGTGGGAGGAGCACGGCCCCGCCCCGGCTCGTGCGGCCCCGCCCCTTTCTAACGTGTTCCCCACCCCCTCCGGGTGCGCGCAGGTATCGGGCCCCGGGCCCCGCCTTCCCGTGGGAGGAGCACGGTCCCTCCCCTTCCTGACGTGTGTCCCACCCTCTGCGGGTGCGGGCAGGTGTCGGGCCCCGGACCCCACCTTCCCGTGGGAGGAGCACGGCCCCGCCCCTTTCCCCGCCCCTTCCGGACGTGATCCCCACCCCCACCCCCTGGTGCGCGCAGGTGTCGGGCCCGGACCCCACTTTCCCGTGGGAGGAGCACGGCCCCGCCCCGGCTCGTGCGGCCCCGCCCCTTCCGGACGTGATTCCCTACCCCCTCCGGGTGTGCGCAGGGTGTCGTGCCCCTCCTTCCCGTGGACGGAACACGGCTCCGCCCCGCCCCGCTCCGTGCGGCCCCGCCCCTTCCCGGCGTGAGCCGCTTCCTGACGCGCTTCCCCTCCCCCTTCTGGTGAGCGCAGGGTGTTGGGCCCCGGGCCGCCACCGCCACCTTGGCCGCTGCTTCTGCGCCCGGCTCTGCCGCCTGTGTCATCTCCTGTCATGGCCGAGGAGCTTTCCACGGCCACATCTTACACCGAAGATGATTTCTACTGTCCCGTCTGTCAGGACGTGCTCAAAACGCCGGTGCGGACCTCGGCCTGTCAGCACGTGTGAGTAGACGCCCCCCTCGGCCGCGCGGATCCGGGGTTGGGGGAGGTCGTTTGGGCCTGGGCCCCTGAGCTCTAGCATGGCGGGAGCCCCCGCGGCCTGCCCGGGAACCCGTTCCTGGGCCCCTCGGCGTCTAGGCCACCCTGCCCTGGAGGCCCGGGTCTGCGCCCCCGGGCCCGAGCTCTCGGCTCCCCGGGCTTCCGGGGACCAGAGCCCGGCGCGGAGCCCTGGCTGAGGGGACTGCAGAAGCCGGAGACCCCGGCGGCCCCGCCGGCCTCGCCTAGGCCGGGACGAATTGCGGGCAACGTGGAGCCTTTTTGTTTCCTAGCAACCCGGGCGCAGGCTGCGGTGTCGAGTGTCAAAACCGGTCGGAGGCCCACCCGCTCACCTTGCCCCGTGTCCTGAACTTTTTTCTGCTTTCAGAGCCTCGATTCATCTCTTCTAGATCCCGGATCTCTTACTTAACTTTGATCCTGCTGTGCAGATCGCGTTCCAAGGGCTTGTCTTCGCTTCACATAGAGTGTATGCTAAAGTGGGTCTAGAGTGAGTGTTACTTTCCGCTGTGTTCGCGCTAACAATTTCCGGGCATTGAAGAGTTTCCTTTGTTTTAGCCTTCTGCTTATTGGTTGCTGCAGGGCTGGAGCGGAGAAGAGTTGTGTGAGGAGCTGTGGCCTGACTGTGCTGCGCAGGCTGGGGGTGTGGGAGGTGTCTGGGGTCAGGTGGGGGAGCTGGGTGCCTGTGTTGGGTAGACCCTTTGAATGCCGGTTAGAAGACGCCCCTCTTGGGAAGGTGGGTGGAGAGCACTTCTGACTAGGCTGGCCAGGGAGTCCCCTGGGAACCAGTTCAGTAAACATACCAATGTCCTGGCTCCATTGCAAAGGAATTTCTGGCAGGTGGAATCTGCAAGTCTTTATTTTAAAAAAAAAAATGCACTCATACTTGAATGTTCTGCATGGCTGAAAGCAGCTGAAAAGAATTGAACCGGTTCCTAAATATATTTATCTGTTCTTGGAGAGGTGGGGTGCCAGTAGGTTATGGAGAATGGGTTGGCTGTTGGTTGGTTGTTTTTTTTTTTTTTTTGGCAATCTTTACATTGTTAATTAGGGTAAAAAGGTTCAAGGACTACAGGAAAGTGGGTAAGACTATTATTTCCATATTGTTTCCTTCATATATCTGAGGTAAAGGGGGATTTTAAGGGAGAAGCCCCACCCAGTCTCCCACCCACCCCAGGTCCTGGATGTGGGGCATGCTCTGAGATACTTGCTCAAATGGTTTTGATAGTTCACCAGTTATGAATCGCTGCCAGTCTCACCACTCCAAGCATGATGAGGTCGTTGAAGAATCCACTGATTGACATAGTTCATCATAGAGTCTCCGTTTGCCCAGTCTTTCACTGCCAACATATAGCTGAGGTGGTTGATTGACTCGTTCTGTTCTCTGTCCTTTCATGGTCAGGATTCTGAGTCCAGCAGTTCGATTGGGTGGATCCCCAAAGAAATATTGTCTGAGGTGTTTCCAGACCAAATCCTTGTATGTGCTAGGAAGTACAGGGCCCGGCACAGTCCATCTGCCCTACCAGCTGCTGGTTGCAATTGCTAGGTCGGTTCTGTTTCCAGCCCCGTCTTCCTCTGAAACCAGTGGGTGTTGCAGTTCAGCCTGGTTCTGCCCAGCACACACACGGCCCTCACATAAACCAGTGGGAGCTGCAGCCCAGTCAAAGAGACCCACAATAACCCCCACCAGCAACTCCTCTACCCTGGTTTGCCAGTGTGTGTATTAGACTAGTCCAGTCTGTCCCACATCCCATTGGGCTATCGTACATGTCAATGGGTATTGAAGCTTAGTTTTATCTAACCAGCTCCACTATCCAGCCCTCACAGATGTTGTTGAGTACCTTTCTGTCTAGCCACCCCAGCCCCTGTCCTGGTTTTCGTGCCCTCCCATGGGAGTGGTAACCCAAGAGGGAGGAGCCCACTATTTCCCTCCCATGCCTCTCCCACTTCTGGATTATGTACTCTCCAGATGGTTCTGTGGTTTAACTTGACAGAATTAGTCCCCAGTGCCAGCTTCTGCCAGCTGATGCTGTGGCTAAGCCCAACCCATCCTCACCCACTCTACTTGTAGTTAGCGCCAGTAGGAACAGTCAGCCTGGCTTTTCCCTGATCTAGTCCAATTGAGGACCACAGGTGTGTAGCCCTGCCTAGTCTGGCCTGCCCCCATCCTCAGCTCACGCTTTCCAGTGGGAGTAGCTATCCAGCAAGGGAATCTCCTCATATTCCCCCTGCTGGCTCCGCCCCCTCCCTTCCTGGTTCTCACGCCTGCTGGTTGGTCGCTGCTGTCACATCCGGTACAGGCAACCTCACCTTGGCATTCCATATTGTGCTTTGGTTTTTGTGGCGACCAAATCTGGCTCGACCCACACGCTGTTGTGGTGCTTGGATTTGCCAGAGGATGACGTGAACTGATTCAGCCTGGTCTGCCCCCACCCCCCCCATGCCAAATGTATGCCATGGGAAACTTTCCATTGCCTGTTCTGGGCTTTTTCCTATCATGATTTTTGCGCTTACCTGCCAGGTCTGTGTCCTGCCAGAGGAGTTGCCCAGGCTCCTTCATCAGAACCTCTCCTAGTGCCGGATTTCACGCATACCAGGGTGTCCATGAGCCAATCCTACTCGGTTCACCTCTTGAAAAATATGGAACGCTTCACGAATTTGCATGTCATCCTTGCGTAGGGGCCATGCTAATCTTCTCTATATCGTTCCAATTTTAGTATCTGTGCTGCCGAAGAGAGCACGGGTGCTGGGTTTTTAATTACAAACGTCATCACTATAGTTTTTCTCTCAATCTTAAGTGTACTGTCTGCGTTATTCCTGAGCTGTTGCTTATATGAACCAAGAATATGTGGCTTTTCAGGCTACAGATTAGGCCAGTGGTGTTTTTGTACTATTGGAAGGTGAATTGGTCTGAGGTGTCCAGGGCACAATTTATTACCCTGCCTTTTTTTAAAATTGCTAATGCATCAGTATGTCTTTCTTATATTTAAAAGAAAATTCCAAGTATTGTGCTGGCAGTGAGTGGAAAAATGCAAGGAAGGTAGGGCAAGAGGAGAGGGTGTTATAGTAACACCTAATAGTGTGTATATGTGGCAGATTATTTTTTCTGGACAAAATCATCTCACTTATCCTTAAAGTTATTAAGCTCACAGAACTCCTTGCAATTTTTAGCTCTCCTCAAAATTTTATATAGAAGCAGTAGTCCACTTCTTGTGCAATAGTTTATTTTAAATCTAGGACTATAATTTGGCTTGATATGAGGATTATGGAAAAAAAAAAGAAATTTTTTAAAATTCAGGATCTTGCTCAGATCAACTCAGTGGGTTTAGACATGACCAAGTAGCCTTCCATTTTCACTCCTCCATCACTTGTAGTAGTTGCTTTGTCATTCTGGCTGAACAATGATCTAAGTGAAGGGAAAAAAAAATCTCTTATTTGGAGAGGTTGGGTGTTGAAAGAGATTTTGACTGGCTGAAAGGAATTTGGGGGGGATGAAGAGAATCTTTTTCAAAAAAAAGATTTAACTCATTTGAAAGGCAGAAAGAGATTAGACCTATAAATGCCTTTTTTTAAAAAAAATACGATTTATTTGAAAAGCAGCATTGGGCTATCCTGAAGTCAGGAGCACAGAACTCATCCTGTGTCTTCCAGGTGGTGGCAGGCACTCAAGGATTCATGCATTATCTACAGCGCCCCAGAGGAAGCTGAGTGGGAGCGGAGCTGAGACCCAGGCACTTTGATATGGAGTGTGGAAGTCTCAACTGCTGTGCCAAGTGCATGTCTTGAGAATAGGTTTAAAGTAATAGGGTTTATTGTGTCATTTGCTTTTTTCATTTTCAGGAAGGTCAGGGTTGGTATCAAGTTTGTAGGAATGTGGTGATAAGCAGTTTCGGGTCATTGTGGATCAGTTAGAAATTATGTTTTCCTCAGTCATTAGGTGACACTGATTATTCAAGTCAAAAAAACAAATTCTTTGTCCTTAATTAGCAGCTATGCCAAAATGTAAGTTTCCATTTAATCCGTATTCATCCCTTCCAGTCCCTTCCAACAGTATTGTTAGATTGTGCTGTGTGCCTGATATTGAATGCAGTGTTTCTCTAAGGACCATTATTAGTGTAATGGAGGAGACCTATGAATGATAATGATTGATACAGAGATGATTTAGGTAGAAAATTATATGTTAGTATCCAGAGGGCAGGGATCCAAATGAACTGTGAGTGTAGGGACAGTTTCTTGGATGAAGTAGCACCTGAGATAAGCATTTGTATGTAAGGTTGTTGTAAGCTCTGTTAAGGTTTGTGGGGAACAGAAGGGCAGGGAGTACGGTGTGAAGGATGGCTCTGACCCTCTCTCACTTTGTCAGAGCCAGTGGAGATAGTGGAGATGGAGCTTGGTAGGCACTCACTGTGTAAGTCCTTTGGAATGTAGTCCTTGAAACCATAGAAACCTACTAGATCATTTTGGTAGGGGAGCAGCATAACCACATTTCCATTGTAGGGAGTATACTTACTTGTGTGGCCCTGTCTTACTGATGGTGGTAGGATTAGTGAATGGGTGGTAGCACATTGATGTGTCAGGGAGAAGAATAATTAGAACCTCAGTAAAGTAATGGAAGTAGAAATGGAGAGAAGAGATTTCTGTTCTTTGAAGGAAATTGTATGAAAATTTGATGAGTATGGGGCTGACACATTGGCTTAACTGACTAACCTTTCACCTCCAAGTACTGGTATCCGATATGGGTGCCAGTTCCTGTTTTGGGTGCTCCACTGCCCATCCAGCTCCCCCTGCTTATGGCCTGGAAAAGTAGTCAAGAACGGCCGAAAGCCCTGGGACCCTGCATCTGTATGGTTGACCCATAGGAGGCTTCTGGCTCCTGGCTTTGGATGTGCTCAGCTCTGGCCTTTGTGGCCATCTAGGGAGTGAACCAGCAAATGGAAGATCTTTCTCTC